AGTTTGCGCAATTGAAACCTGACGAAGAATTAAAAGAACAATCAGGATCAAGAAAAGAGGTCACGAGTATCACATTTGTCAACATTACTCCAAATTCGTGTTAAAATGGATTTAAAACAGTCGGATAAAAAGATTTTGATCTTGAAAGGTATTAAAATCTGTTCATTGCTAAACTCTTGGAATTTGAGCTAAGAATGGACAGTCCAAACTTTGGATCTATTCCTAAGATCATCGTTCGGTAATTCGTGGTCACTAACCCTTACATACCCAATTTCCTAATAAGATAACATATCACATGTAACATAACACATCCTACACTCAACCTACACTCAGCCTATTCTCAAATAGTATTACTCATGTATATACACTTGAATGTTAGTTCCAGAAAAGATTACGTGTATCAGTGTAAACATCCCCGTGGATGCAGTCGTCCTCGGTTGTGTCGTATACCGGAAGCGAGAGTTCTTTCATCTCCTTTTCACTAAGAAGTCTCTCAGTCTCGTCAAGGACAGAACCAAGTCTTCAGAATCCACATGCAGCTTCTCCGTCGCCCTCGCCACCAAGAAGCATAGATACTTCCCTGGTATTTGCGAAGCCGCCAGAGGCAAGGCTGCTACACCTCCTATTCCTGTTCTTTGCTTCCACAGAAATTCTATGTTTTTAAATTCTCTCTTAAAATCTGCTGCTAACGCTGTCCTAAAACTCATGTCCGCTGTGATCGCTATCGCACATGTCCTTTTGTGAGTAAAGTTCGCTATCTGTTAGTAGTATGCTACTCCAGTATTCATTTGGCAAGTTAAAATATGACTCTACTACTCCCCCTATGTCCGGTTTCTTAGGATCTTCGCCTGTTTCTGCTTCAAGGTCACCTGTTTCTGTTGCTATTTTTGATTTTTTTATTAATAAATTTTCAGTATGGGTAAGTCTTACCCCCTTTCCCCGGAAAAAAACATACATCGACATCCCCGTCGATCGCATACCGGATATTAAGTTGAGATTGGACGCAGGAATGAATAATTGCCCTTCCTGGGCTGCCCAGGAAGACTCATCCCTGTCGTTTTTTATGTATTTCATGCTCTCACGGTCTATGTCATGAATCGTGACACTGGTGTCCTTTGGGTCCGATGTCATTTCGTTCAGCCACTCCAAGACGCGCATTGCTGCTGCTCGTCATCAGTTTCTACCTGAGGTTTAAACCGTTAATCGACCCACTCCTCGTCTTGGTCGTCGACTATGTTTATGTCCTGTGACGCGGGTATTTCTTCTAAACCCATCAATTCTTCCACCAATCTTTGGGCACCTCTATCTGCTCAAAGTTTTCCCAGCCCTCTTCTGCTTAGGGTAAGGTTTCTTCATCTGTTTCAATTATTTCATTGGGATCCAGGTCCAGTGGTGGACTTGTTGCTTTCTCTAGAGCCTCATTCTCGTCGTTCTTTTCCCTGGTACCTTTCTCATTGATTTCGCAAGCAGAGTCCATCATCAGATAATCGCCCTTCTCCATGTCTCCGGGTATACATCAGTCCTCTGTGGATGGGCTGTGGGGCTTAATTTTCTCAAAGTGCGGATCTCGACCAGTACTCAGTCTGTAAAAACGTCCCTCCTAATGCACATCCGTTAACATAAACGGTCCCCTCCACATCATCAGGTGTTTCTTCGTTCCTTTCAGCTGAATGACGTTCTGAAAGGCCCACACGTAGCCTCCTACTGAGTAAAATTTTGCACCAGCTGCATTCTTATCAAACCTTTTCCTCTGCCTTGCCTGTGCTTGTTGGCTTGTTGAGTATCAGTCCTTGTTGACGTCTAATCACATCCCTAACATAAACATGCGGTGATGTTTTCTTTTCCTCATACTATGGATAAAAAAAAGACAAAGGCAAGGATTTTTCGTGTCCAGTCACCATCATATGTGGACTGATTCCCGTGTTCAAGTATTGCGTGCTGTTATAAGCCCCATCACTTGTGGAAAACATCTGTCCCAATCAGCCACGTATCTGGAACAATACACCCTCAACATCGACACCAGAGTCCGATTTTGGCTCTCCACTAAGCCGTTCGTCTGGGGGTAGAATCAGCCAGTGCCACTTGAGAACGTCTCATGTGCTCCTTAGTAAGTTCTCCTACAAAAGCTGTTTCACTCTCCGATTGGAAGGTCATAGGAAATCCATGACTCGCTATCCACGTATTGATCGGATGATCGCTTGTCTCTTCTGCTGAGGCAGTTATGCAGGGCACGGTCTCAGCAAATTTTTTGAAAAGATCGATCATCACCAGGACCTGATTGTTGCCACTGCCTGTCATGCAGATCTTCTGGTGGTCAATCTGTATCACCTCATTGAACTCAGATGAGTCAATCGACTGTAGTGGAAATCGCAGTTTCCTTGGATCCTTCACTTGTTGACATGATAGACATGTTGTAAACCACTTCTCGTATGCCTTCTTCATTCCAGGACATTCAAAAGCGTTTCAGGACCTCTGGTATACTTTATCAATCCCCTGGTGGCCCATCTGATCTTGCAATTTGAATTAAAAATTCTTCGCATTATATTTGTACAGGTCTTTGTCCTCTTCTCTCTTTTTAAAAGCCACGATCCCTTCCTTGTTCAGATATAACATTCCCCCTTACTCTATGAAAAATTGTCTCAGGATACGGTAACTGTCCTCCTCCAGATCTCCTTTGTCTGGTGCCCCATTCTCGATCCACCTCTTCAAGTTGCTCGTCATACGGTCAAATTTTTGGGCTCTTAGTATGTCCGACAGTTTGTATCTCGCCTTCAAGTATGTCCTCATGACCCTCAATTGAATATTCAGCTCATCGTGCTGATGCGCGTCACCTTCCATCTTCACGCATCAGATTGTCGCCAATGACTCTGTGTCTTGTCTGAACAGTTGGAGGTCCGTCCTGACTGCTTCCTTCTATGGTAACAAGCTCATCGAACGTTTCGATACCGCTATTGTTTCCAAATCATCCGCTGTGTTGTCAAAGACTCTTTCACTGGGTACTAGGTAGCGATCACTGTCGGGGTCTTGATATACTTCCCTGTCCAAGTCTCTTGCTCGAGTCTCCACTCGTATCGTGTGGATCGCTAACTCTGATAATTTTGATCCCATGCTCGAGTTTCTGCCTGAGTAGCTGTCGATTTTTGAATTCTGTGACGCGGGTATTTGTTCTAACCATTCTTCGGGTACTTTTTTCTAATCTGATCAAGCGAATTGAATAAAAGTTCCGTTTGATGAAATTGCGGGAACACTATCGCATTAAATTTGCACAGGACTTTGTCCTCTTCTCTCCTTTTAAAAGCCACGACCCTTCCTTGTTCAGATATAACCTTCCCTCTTACTCCTTGAAAAATTGTCTCAGGATACGGTAACTGTCCTCCTCCAGATCTCCTTTGTCTGGTGCCCCATTCTCGATCCCCCTCTTCAAGTTGCTCGTCATACGGTCAACTTTTTGCTCTCTTAGTATGTCCGAGAGTCTGTATCTTGCCTTCAAGTATGTCCTCATAACCCTCAATTGAATATTCAGCTCATCGTGCTGATGCGCGTCATCTTCCATCTTCACGCACCACATTTTCGCCAATGGTTCTGTCTCTTGCCTGAACGGTTGAAGGTCCGTTCTGACTGCTTCCTTCTGCGATAACAAGCTCATCGAACCTTTCGTTACCGCTATTGTTTCCAGATCATCCGCTGCGCTGTCAAAGACTCTTCCACTTTCCTCGAGTTGTTGTCAACTGATGAGTGTACCACGGAGCAAATCTCCGTCTCCACGTCAGGTTCCGACCTGTGCGTTCTGCTCATCCATCTAAACTATCCGGACAAAAATTTATTCTTCAGGTTTTGTTCCTCTACTCGACCATTTTCTTCAACACCCGACTCCCCGGACAAACTTTCTTGTTCCTGGTTTTGTTCATTAACTCGACAACTTTCTTCTACGTCCTTTCCCGGAAAAACTTTCTTGCTCCAAGTTTTCTTCATTTTCTCATCATTTCTGATCGGGATCCTCAAAGGTGAGATTCTTCCTTTGTGTTCCGATCTCATGTTACTTTTGTTTGTATGATGTCCCCATCAAAACTCTCTGAGGAATCGAGGATACTAGTTGCTGAACTACCGTCCTACAATCCATTTCGTTTTCCTTATGTTGGCGTCTTGATGGCATGATCCTCACTTTCTCACTGACTGTCAGCGATGCCATGGCTGATGACCGTTAGGGGTCATCTCTAGTCACTTCTCTCTCCAAAGGTCCAGCCAGCAGCCGCATCTCTTGTGGTATGACCAGCACAATTTTATCCAGCAATGAGAGGCTGTTTATGTTCATACGAGAGAGTTTCTGTTGGACCAGGTTCGAGCATAGCAACAAGACCAAAGGCACCAAATCCTTCTTAGAAAATATCTTTTTTTCTGCTGCGTTTTCCACTGGCAAATCGGGTTGTCCCGCAATTGGATTTCCAGTCGTGTCCAACCATCTCGTCAAGGGAAGCGCTTCATATCTTTCTTTGTCCAGAAACGAGAACCCTTCCTTAATTTCCGCCTGATTGGCTTATTTCTGTTCTAGTCTACCGTAATGTTCAGTATTCTTGCTGTGGCTGTCAGCAATTTGGTTTTTGTCACGCATCATGTTTTAGCCATCCAACATGACTATCCGCCGACCAATATAGCTCTGGTTCATCGAGTACGTTTTCAACCAGGATAACGCTCTGTTGTCCACGCGTAATTTAAAGAGAGCGCTTCTCTACAAACGTGACTACCGCAAACATTTCTGTTTTGTGCACCGTATTTCATTTCAGTGTCACTCAACACTTTACTGCATATACAATGGGACGGAGATCTATTCTCCCATTCCATTCTTGCTCCTGATGCAGTTTTCCTGAGATGGCTAGTACTGAAGCATCAGTGTCGAGAACGTACATGCCCTTCTCGGTGGGAATGCCTAGCACTGGCGCCTCTCACAGCTCCCGCTTTATATTCTCGAATTCTGCCTGAGCTTTTTCGTTCCACTCGAATTTTTATCTTTTGTTGCACATCAGTTGCTGCATTGGGTACACCTTATCTGCGTTTCTATTTATGAACTCGTGATAAAAATGGGCAATCCCAGGAAACTCATGAGCTGTGGGTCCGTTCTGGGGGCCTTCCATCACGTCCTCCACCGCATCCGGATCCGGCTTCACGCCATGCTTGTCTACCATCCTTCCTAGGTGTTTGATTGAGTCCCTAAGGTTCTCAAATTTCGATGGTTTGCACTTCAAGCCGGCTCTATTCATGCAGTGGAAAACCTCGTCGAGTCTGTCGATGTGATCAGCCAAGGTGGGTGTTGCTATGACCAGGTCGTCCACGTAGCACATCACGAGATTCCCTTACTTCTTCGTTATCCTGGTCAAAGCCTGAGCCATCAGACTTTGAAAAGTCGCCGTGGCATTGCACAAGCCAAAGGGCATCCTCTTCTAGTGGAACAAACGCAATTCACATGCAAATCCAGTCTTCTCTCTGTCCTTGTTACGCAGAGGAAACGGCAGAACCGAGGACCAGTGTAGAAAAAAAAATTGACATAGCCCAGTTTCGAGACAATCTCATCTATGCGTGGTGTTGGTTAAGCGGCCTTTATGGTCACCGCATTCAGGTAGCAAAAATTACAACAGAATTGAAGTTGTCCCCCTCTCTTTTTGGCATTGACGATTCTGCAAGCCCAAGGTGACTTCGAGGGTTCTATTATGTCCTATTCGAGCAACATTTCTATTTCCGCTCGGCACGCTTCCGATTTATGTGTTGTCATGCGCCTTGCGCCCTCCTTGTGCGGAATGGCGCCTTCTTCTAATTTGATTTCGTACTCGACGAAAAATTACAACCAATATCCGCCTTATGTTTTGAAAAAACGTTCCGCGTTCCAATTTAAAACCTCCCTTAATGGTTCAAAATCTCCCTCACCTATTTTACCTCTCAAGTGCTCTACCTTTGGCAAAACTGGTTTGTCTGACTCTGGTTCAAATGACTAGAGGCGTTCCGGAAGATTCAAGCAACTCAACAGGCCGTCATTCGTTTCGGATCTCATTGAAAACATTTTATTCAAAGATGTCAAATCATTAACCCTTTTTAAGATCAAATTTCTATCACCATGGAAGGGCAGCCCTTTAAGAAGAAATTCTTCAAGTTCGGTGTTTCTTCATAATCATTTCTCATCGGCAAAGCGTAGCCAAGTTTCCTTCCACGCTGCATTGAAATCTTTGTGTCCAGTGTGTTCCACAATACACTCAAAAACAGCCCTCTTCGTGCTATAGAAAAGCTCCGGCCTAAAACTACTGAACTTTTACTATTTGGTTTGGGTACCAAGCAAACCTGTTTACTATCACTCAAAGAGTTTAAGTTCCGCATTCTTAAAATCGTTTCTACTTCCTGCCTGAGCTGTAGTTTCACCTTTCTGTCTAAAAAACTTGGTATCTTACTTTGCTCTGGTCTCTTAACATACTTCCTATTTGGGTTCCTAATCCTAATCAGTCCATTATTCAGGTCGATCATCACGTCGAAGTTCCTGGCAAAGTCGCGACCCAAATTGAACTGATCTGCATCGAATCGTCCATGTTCTCCACCAAGAGGAAACTCATCCATAGATTTTGTCCTCCCACATGGAGTACTGTTATTGGTGTTCTCCTGGCAACGTAGACTGCTCCGCGGTTAGCGGCTTCCAATCTTACATTCGTTGGACTTAGGTCCTCCGTTGTGATGGCCATTCTTTGCCATGTCTTTATCGGCATTACCCTGAAAACTGCTCCTGTTAGAAGTTCTGTTACTTGGATCCTTTTCCCATCGGTATCTAACAGATGTGCAGTCATATCTGCTGCGTATCCAATCTGTACCGCATCATGTGCCATCATGGCGTCATGGCCAATTATACAAACCTTCAGTTCTTCCTGACCCAAAAATATCTGTCCTATTTGGTCACTGTCTGTTGTGACGTAAGTCTTGGTGTAAAAACTAATCACATCACGTTTAACAGCAGTTGATAATGTCCGTAGACTTCCACGTAGCGCCCGTGAAGTTTCTTTATGCGATTCTCGCACAGTTCTCGACTCAGTTCGTGGTTCAGCTTGTCTCAGATAATCCGCATATATATCCAATTGCATCATGGTGAATTCCGAAGGTTCGCGTAGGTTCCTGATTACCTGATGTCCCGCTAGTGAGATTTTTGACTGCATCTTGCTTCCTTGTGGCACCATCCCGAATGTTTTCCCTGAGATTACATTCAATTTCATGCTCAAACTACTTGGTGCCTTCATTTCTTCCACCTCAGATGCTTCAAAGGCGTTGAGCTGTTCTTGAGTTCTCTCGTTCTTGAGTTCGAGCTTGACTTTCTTTTCTATTTCTATTGTCGCCAATTCCTTTTGGACTCTATTCAGGGTATCTCATGCCGCTGCTTTATAGTCAATCTTAAAGTCGTTTACTGCGGTACCAGCTTCCCGTGCACACTTCTTCTGTCACCACGTGCATTTTCTTCGTAGCCAGTTTTTGCGGTTTCTCTTTCCTGCGGGCTTCCGCTTCTCTCATTAGGCGCGCCTTGCTTGCTTTCACACTCGATAAAGCTTTCTCATGCCTTGGATGCTTGATGTCTGCCACAACTTCCTAAAACTGTGGACAATCTGATTTAAAATTACCCTCCAAGTTACAAAAGAAACACCTGGGACCGAATCTTGCTATTACTCCTCTCATGAAATCTTCATGGTCGACTTCTGACTCATCTTCATCCTCGAGGCTGAAGCCTTTCGCATTCATACCTTGTTTGTAATTTGGGCATGCTAATACATGATGGTACATCGAACTGAACAATTTGCACAGGAGCGTCTCTTGTCCATGTTGTTCCTCGCTTTGTACCAATTGTTACCCTGGTTAGCAGGTCCATTGTTAAAATTGCCATAATTGTTTTTGTAATAATTTGATCTCAAAGGAGGCTTTAGTAGAAGATATTCCTTGGACTTGAGTCTCAATTCCTCCGGTGTAGACGCATTGGTTGAAAGCTGAGTGTAATGCGTTGCCAACCTTGTCCGGAGCTCATCGTTCTTCACACCATTTGTGAATTTTGAGGCTACTGCTAGGTTCATCCTGATGTTTGACTAATCCGGTTGACTATGCCTTCTCAGCATTTCTAAGTTATCTAAGAATTTGTCTATCGTTTCGACTTCACGTTGCCTCCGTTTCCAAAAGCGCATTTTTGCTTGGTGTCCTTGTACCGCTGAGCCAAAACAATTCAACAAGATTTCAAAGATCTTCTTAGCTGTGTCCCGTTGATATTGCTTTTTGGCCATCACGCAATTCAGGACTGTCCCTTCCAGGTTGCTGGTGAGCGCGCTGCATTCTCGTCTTTCTGTCAAGTCTTCCTCCTTAAAAAGCAGCTTCAGTACCTATATCCTGGTATCAATACAGCCGTCAGATTCGTCTTTATAGCATCTTGGTTTCTTAAACACCCTTCCAGACTTCTCGCTGCGTCACGGTTCATAGATAGTCTCGTTAGGAAAGTTCCTGACGAGGTTATCTAGGACCAGTGAATACAGCGAGAAGTCCGTGGATGCAACGAATCTGATGGCTGTATAGATACCAAGATACAGGTCATGAAGCTGCATTTTAAGGAGGAAGACTTGACAGAAGGCGAGAATGCAGCGCGCTCACCGGCAACCTGGACAGCCCTGAATTGCGTGATGGCCAAAAAGCAATATCAACGTGACACAGCAGAGCAGATCTTTTAAATCTTGTTGAATCGTTTTTGGCTCAGAGGTACAAGGCCACCAAGCACGGATTCGCTTCGAGAAACGGAGGCAACGTGAAGCCCAAACAATAGACAAAATCTTAGATGACTTAGAAATGCTGAGAAGGCGTAGTCAACCGGATGAGTCAAACAGCAGGATGAACCTAGCAGTAGCCTGAAAATTCAAATATGGTGTTAACAACGATGAGCTCCGGACAATGTTGGCAACGCATTACACTCAGCTTTCAACCAATGCGCCTACACCGGAGGAATTGAGACTCAAGTCCAAGGAATATCTTCTACTAAAGCCTCCTTTGAGATCAAATTATTACAAAAACAATTAAGGCATATTTAACAATGGACCTGCTAACCAGGGTAACAATTGGTACAAAGCGAGGAACAACATGGACAAGAGACGCTCCTGTGCAAATTTTTCAGTTCGATGTACCATCATGTATTAGCATGCCCAAATTACAAACAAGGTATGAAGGCAAAAGGCTTCAGCCTCGAGGATGAAGATGCGTCAGAAGTCGATCATGAAGATTTCATGAGAGGAGTAATTGCAAGATTCGGTCCCAGCTGTTTCTTTTGTAATTTGAGGGTAATTTTAAATCAGGTTGTCCACAATTTTGGGAAGCTGTGGCAGACATCAAGCACCCAAGGCATGAAAAAGCTTTATCGAGTGTGAAAACAAGCAAGGCGCGCCTAATGAGAGAAGCGGAAGCCCGCAGGAAAGAGAAACCGCAAAAACTGGCTTCGAAGAAAATGCACGCGGTGACAGAAGAAATGTGCACGGGAACCTGGTACCGCAGCAAACGACTTTAAGATAGACTATAAAGCAGCGGCAAGAGATACCCTGAATAGAGTCCAAAAGGAATTGGCGACAATAGAAATAGAAAAGAAAGTCAAGCTCGAACTCAAGAACGAGAGAACTCAAGAACAGCTCAACGCCTTTGAAGCATCTGAGGTGGAAGAAATGAAGGCACCAAGTAGTTTGAGCATGAAATTGAATTTAATCTCAGGGGAAACATTCGGGATGGTGCCACAAGGAAGCAAGATGCAGTCAAAAATCTCACTAGTGGGACATCAGATAATCAGGAACCTAAGCGAACCTTCGTTGTTCACCATGATGCAATTGGATATATATGCGGATTATCTGAGACAAGCTGAGCCACGAACTGATTCGAGAACTTTGCGAGCGCTGTTGACAACAGGTGGTACTCGAACAAAGAAACTTCACGGGCGCTACGTGGAAGTCTAGGGACAATATCAACTGATGTTAAACGTCATGTGATTAACTTTTACACCAAGACTTACGTCACAACAGACAGTGACCAAAAAGGACAGATTTTTTTGGGTCAGGAAGAACTGAAGGAACATGATGGAACATGATGCGGTAAACATTGGATACGAAGCAGATGTGACTGCACATCTGTTGGATAACGATGGGAAAAGGATCTAAGTAACAGGACTTCTAGACACAGGAGCAGTGGTCAGTGTAATGCCGATAAAGACATGGCAAAGAATGGGCTTCCCATTGGAGGACCTAAATCCAACGAATGTAATATTGGCAGCCGCTAACCGTGGAGCAACTTACGTTGCCAGGAGACCACC